GTTCCGACACCAGGATAGTATATGGATCGGGTGCCACGTTCCGGTACCAGGATAGAATATGGATCGGGTGTCACGTTCCGACACCAGGATAGAATATGGATCGGAGTGTCACGTTCCGACACCAGGATAGTATATGGATCGGGTGCCACGTTCCGGTATCAGGATAATATATGAGGATCGGAGTGTCACGTTCCGACACCAGGATAGTATATTGTGGAGCGGAGTGTCACGTACCGACACGAGGGGAATAAAGATAATGAATTTTGAAAGATGTTAATATATTCAATCTAATGAACCTAATTCCCAAATGAGTATGATGAGGAGGCGTGAGTCCTCATTGATGTGTTTGGTGTTGTAACCAAGGGTTATGGTAACTGTAAATGCTGCATGCTAAGGATATTAGTTGATTTTATAATATTGCTTAATACATACTGTTTTCTATTTTGAGTTGGCCGATGATATCTACTCAGTACCCGTGTTTTGTACTGACCCCTACTTTTATTGTTTCTTCTTGTTTATTTGTGGAGTGCAGCAAACGTGCCGTCATCTTCGACTCAACAATAACTCAAGCCAGTCTTACTACATCGGAAATTCAGGGTGAGCTAATGCTTCTAGCTTGGACTGGATCTTCTTCTTCATGTCTTGATGCCTTGAACTTCCGGCATGGACTAGCTTCTTATGTATTTTTAGCTTCTTAAAAACTCTTAGAATTATTAGTTTAAAGTAGATGTTCTTGTGATGATGATTTCCAGGTTTTGGGAATAATAGATGTTGAATATTGATAGTTATTGAATTTGTTTTTATTAATGAGTTTAAGTCTTCCGCATTACTTTCTTTTTATATTATATTGAAATGTTAAGGTTTAGATTGGTTGGTTCGCTCACATAGGAGGGTAAGTGTGGGTGCCAGTCGCGGCCCGGATTTGGGTCGTGACAGTTGTCTTACCACTTGAGTTCTTTTTCTTTCTTTTCTTGACCGTCGAAACATTATTTTGTATCAAGATGACAAGACAATTTCTTATCTGGTAATGGAACCATTGAATCTTTCAAAATTACTTATTTACCTTTCAAGGTAAACAACATAATGTTTCATCAATTGACTTATTCTTGCTATTAAGTATCAAATTAGACTGATTTATAATATGTAGTTAGAATTATGTAATCAAGTATAATTTTTACATTTTTATGTATCATATTAAAGCTTATAGTTTCTATTAAGTATCAATTTGTCTGATTTATAATAGTTAAAATTATGTATCAAGTACAATTTTATATTTTTATGTATCATATTAAAGATTCTTATTTATATTAAGTACCAACATCATTTTTTCAATCGCATAATATCTGATACTTTATTATTAGTAGATAAAAAATTTAGATTAAAAAAGATATTATGTATATGATATATCGTTGCTTCAAATGATACCTTTTTACATGTCGTCTCTTTTAACTTTGGCACACATCACAACTAATGATACTATTATTCTATTCGATACAATATTTACAAAACAATTAAGTATTAGATACACAACAATGTATACCAAACTAACTTTATCAAAAATTAAGAATAAAAGAATGTAGACCAGAATTGAAAACATAACATTTTTCATTTACCACATCATAAAATAGTAACCTAAAACAACTTCATAAAGTATCTACTTTGAGAATTATTAGACATGAAGCAGAAAAGTACTTCTAAAAAGCAAGCATCAAGAATCTTTCAAGAATAAAATACATGTTTGCGTCCCTTTTTTCACCTTAAACACACAATTTTACAGGTTATTGCATTAAAATTTTGTATCTCTTCATCACGTTTATCCGATGTATCAATGCATAGTGAATGCTTACCGAATCCTACCTCATGTTTCTTCATTCATATGTTTAATTTCATCTACATATCATTCTGAATACATAATGGAGATAAATTATCTTTAACAATATATCTGATCTCGATGTTTATTTTTTTTTCAATTCATCAATACCAAATTCAACTGCAATTGTTGAAATAAGATTTACGAATGAAATATTTTCTCCAACCACTATTACATAACATTTGTGTTGCTCGTATCTAACATCACTTTTCAATGATCCAAAATGTCTTAACAAGATCAAAATATTCATTTCAAATCTTCACAAAATTGCGTTTCAAAATTGTTTGAATCAAACTTTTAATGTTTTTTCAAAGAACAAGATGAATATTGCACAATTTGAAATTTAAAAATTATAATTCAGTTATAGGTTTATGACTGATTGGTTGAAGGAAGAAACGTACGCGTAATTTGTGGGAATCAATTAATTTTTGTTTTTAATCCCTTATTTAATGCTTAAACTGATAACAACAACTTAATAATGTAAGTATCAACCGTTATTAATTAAAGTATCTGTCTACAATATTATGTATCCAAAAAATACTAAACGAAAAAAGGATTTTTGATAATTAATGAAAGAGTACGGATAGAAAGTAATTTCTCTCTTATACTAGGTGATTTGTCTAATTTTTACTTTTTATTTTGTTTACATTTCTTTAGGGATAATGCACAAGTACCCCCTCAAAAAAATGCCCGAAATCTCAGAGACACACTTATACTATACTAAGGTCCTATTACCCTCATGAACTTATTTTATTAATAATTTTCTACCCATATTCGGCCTATGTGGCACTATCTTGTGGGCCCAACACTGGTTTTTTCAAGCTAGTGCCACGTAGCCCGAAAAGGGGTAGAAAATTACTTATAAAATAAATTCAGGGGGTAATAGGACCTTAATATAGTATAAGTGTGTCTCTGGAATTTCGGGCATAGGTTGAGGGGGTACTTGTGCATTTTCCCAATTTCTTTTATAAAAGTATTTATTTTTTTACTTCATCTCCTCCCCCTCCTCAAATACTAATTTAGATAATATTTTATTTTCTTACAAAAGTAATTCTAATCATCTCACATAACCCTCTGCTTTCAATTTTTTTCCAGTGTTTAGATATACATATCGAAAATATTTTTTACTTGTCGCCACAAAACTTATTTTTTTAAAGTTATTTATGTTATATTCAGTACACTAATAAAAAATATTTTCTAAAAATATATGTATGAGTATATCTAACACAAAATGAGAAAAACGTAAAAAAAAAAATTAGGAGTGGAGGATTAAATAGGATGGGATATAATTTATTTATTTTTTGTAAAAATAAAATAATATTAATTTCTATTGGGGAGGGGGGGGGTGAGTGGGTGGTGTTTTTTTCGGAGGGGGCGGGGGAGGATGAAGTATGAAATTTTTAAATATATTTTATAAATGTTTTATTTTAAAAAAGGATGGGGGTCGTCCGGGGGGGGGGGGTTGCGTGGCGGAGGTGGTGGAGTGGGGTAAGAAAAATAATTCAACTTTTTATATGGATAGTAATACTTTAATATTTATTTTTTAATGGATATTAATATTTTATTAGTTAAAATATTTTATCTATGTGGAATGTCATGTGTCAAGGTTTTTTCAAATAAAAGAGAGAGTGTATTACACACACCGCTAAGGCTAAAACTAAAAAATTGTAGTTTATGTATGAAATTCATACTCTCAATAGTTTAGGTATGAAACTAAAAAAAGTGGATAGTTTGGATGTGTTTTTGACACTTTTTTTAAAAAAAATCTTCTACTCTTCTTCTTCTTGCATTTTTTTTTGTATGTGATTAGGAGATATGAGGTACCACTATTCTGATGAAGTAAGTCATTCTCCTAAGAGGGTATTTCATAACCTCGAGTACTTGAGAAAAACTATTTTGATGATATAATAATTATTTTTTTTGCTTAATATATACATTAGTATGCAATGTTCCAATATATGAAGTTAACTTTATGTAGTCTAAATTCATTTGTTTTTGTTAACAATTTTTCTTGTGATGTAGATATATGCTTCTGAATATCTTTTTCAAAATCTAGAGAATTATCACGATTTGTTTTTGATGCTCAAGACAAAATGTATGACTTTATTTATCAATGTTACTTATGTGATTTAGACTCTCATGAAACTTACTTCAAAATAGTAATTATTGTATAAAAAATGTCCTTTTGTTTTACTTATTTACTATTTCTTAATATTTCAATATTTAGATAAAAAAAAGTTCATAATTTTTAACGTCAGTTGAAGTTTGTATTAGTTTAATTTTTGTTATTTAATTAACAATTCATTTTATGAGATAAATATTTTCTATTAATGCAAATATATATTTATTTTGTGTCGGTATTTGTATTTAAATTAAAATATTATATATGTCACAAATGTATTATCAAGCTAACAAAACCTTCTAACTTCAAAATATGTTATTTTAAAATGTTCCGTATTTTTTTAAAAAAAAAACTTAGAATCAATGTGAAAATATGTGAATATATAAAATTATAGTTGTTCTCTTCGCATGTTCATATGACATCTAAACAATTTAACGTAGAATATACATGCAAAGCGCATCTGGTTAGATGACAAGAGAAATACAAAGCAAATATTGTATGTAAGGCAATATTATTGAGATAAGACTAATTACACGATTAACCTCATTAAACTGAAATAAATATATACATTTTTACATTTAACTAATAAAATTGTTCATTGACCATTTTCATAGGTTTGTGTGAATAAAAAATATATATAACGATCCACGTTGAATATTCACAGAGGAATCTACGATATTTATTTTTTGCTAAGCTTATTATGTAAATCTTCGCTTAAATAAAAAAATACTATTTGCTATAACATATATTTTTGGAATTAATAATCACGTTCTAATAATTATAAAACTTTAGTGTGATTTTTCCCTTCCTATAGTTGGGGAGATTTCCACAATACATATGTTTGTTGTCTTTTAAGTAACTTTGTGCATCATTCAAGAACCTGGTTCTTGAACACAGGGTAGGATTTCTTCAGTATTAATATTTAAAATGGAATGTAGTGTAAATTAGGAAATCAAATGGATGAAATTCATTTACAAAAGAGAATATATTTACCTAGTGTATTATTAAATTCAAATATTACATCCAAATATCTAAAAATTTTGAAGTGTAGAATGGTCACAAAGAAGGAGTTTTAAGAGTCAATAATTTAGAACTTGAGTAGCTTCGTTGCTTTCTCTTGGAATTATAGTGAGAGCTTCATTGTATATTACAAGTCTCAAAGTACCATTATTAGCTTGGTAACCGAATTCGTTGATTTGATCGGAATGAATATCATAGGAACTCAAAGTTCCAGTTCCGGTTTGAAAAAGTAATATATGATCCTTTCAAATTGCGAATGAAGATTCAATGGGAAGAGGTCTAATTGTGTATTTCTTAATCCATGTTTCATCTTCACCATACTCCTTTATGAACCAAATATCTGTGAACTCTTTTCCTGGCTCAAGATGGCATTTTGGATGTGGGTAACAAATTAAGGTTAAAGATTTTTGACAAACTGTGAGGCCATAACCTTTATTGTCACAAAAATAACAAGTATCAGGCAATTTTATGTTGCGAAAAGATTCGTAGGTTAAGTGAAAGCAGAGAACGATGGGCTCTTCATCATCATCCTGTGCAGTCCAATGACATGCTCCACTAAAAAAGGCTTCGGAACCAACATAGTGATGCACCCTGGGCAATAACTTTACGGTAGGAATAATTCACCTCCAAGTATGTGTGCGAAAATCATAAACCTCAACTCTGCTATGTCTTGCTTCTAAATCCCTATCATAAGGTTCCGAAGACAGTTTATAAAACCTGACTACCTTGTAATCTTTTTCGATTGAGTCATATCCAAAACCAACACCTCTGGGGACAAAAACGAAATCTTTTGGACACCTAAAAAGGCTGTGTGGGAGAAGTCTATATTTTCTAGTAGTAGGATTTAGAAATATGATTTCTTCATAATCTGTCAAAGCAATCAAACCATGAGAAGAACCAATGAGCTGTTGAAATTGAACACAAAAATCATTCTCAAAATATGGTACATCTATTTCTGGAGAAACGTGCTTTAGGGTATCATCGTTATCATTACTAGAAAGAAAATACATTATATTTTTATATAGGTTTTCATCTAGAAAGATGGGACGCTTTAAGATAAGCAATTCATCTTTTGTGTTTCTTCTGCGGTTGCGATGAAGATTGATGAAAATGGAGGAATGTATTAGAGTGTACAAAATCTTAGAGATGCTCTTGAATCGTATGAGAGATTTCACCGATAACTCTAAGAGAATCTGCATCACCACATCTTCATGCAATTTCTTCATAATTCCGTACGACATCTTGGATTCTCACAAATCTAATGTTTATTTGCTAATATCTGGGTACAAAAAATGTTCCTCTCTTCAGCTACTTGAGGAGAGATCCGTGGAAACATGAATATTTGTGGTCTTTACGTTTTTCAACTGCTTTCTTTTCGTTTTATCCAGTGTTGGTAAATTATAATTTGTACGAAAGGGACATTAAATCATGCTACACCAACTTCCTTAAAAAAAATGAATTTAATGTTTTTTTGATGAAGTAATTTATTATAGAAACATTTATATTTATGGTAACATAATTTTTTTAACTAAATATAATTTTTTTTTAGAATTGAAAAAAATTATATCCCCTCTTTTTCAGCCCTTTTTTCTATTCATCCGCTTCTTCTTTTAATTCTTTTTCTTCTTCGTCTCTTTCTCTCTCATTATTTATATTCCTCCTCTCTTTTTTAATATTCTTTTAGTCCTCTTCTATGAAATTTATATTTAATCAACTATTTGAAAATAATTTTTTGTCCATATTTAATTATTTTTACTCAAAAACACGACCAGAAAAGGAATAGAAAAATTGAATATTTGTACAATATCATGTTCTCAAATAGAAATTTCCAATCTTTAAAATTATAGCTACAAAAGTTCACCATTAATTGATGGTTATTATAAAACTTTAAATTTTGAATTCTTTATTTGAATTTTACGAATTTGTGATTAGTTTGGATAGATTGCTTCTACAAATAATTAAAATAATATCTTTTAATTTAGAGCTTATATCTTAATTTTAAGAGGATTTGGTTAAGTTTATAATTGATTTATGGAGAAATATTAGATTGAAACTTGAAAAACATGAAATTTATAGAACTATATCGTGATTTTATTAAAGTTATATTAGATATGTTTCATAATTGTATTAAAATTGTATTAGAATCACCAACAATACCTTTATATTACGTATTACAAACTTCACTCTTTTTTTTAGTGATATCAATCAAAATAATTTAAGTAATATACTTGTAATACATTAACATATGCACAATAAATTTGTAATACATATTGCAAACATTACTCATGTTCTTAAACCAAAATAATATATAACATGTGCACAATACATTTGTAATACATATTACAAACATCACTGATGTTTTTAGTGTTACAAACTAAAATAATTTATAAAACACATATAATACTTATTTTAATTATTCATGAATAATACCAGTTTAATTAAGGCTATATATTATTGTCTTGTCTTTCATTAGTTATGTTTTTCATTTATTGTTAATTTTCACTTATAATTCAACTTTAATATTGTATAATACACTTCTAATGAAAATTTAGTTTATTTGTAGTTTATCACTTTTTACTATTAGATTACTTGTTTAATTTATTATTGATATAAGTTTAAATCACCTAGTGCTCTTTCGTGTGCTACATTTTGTATTCATTTTTAATTTGCTTCTAATTCAACTTTAATATGTGTGTAATACATTTTTTATTCAAGTTTAATTCATTTAGCAGTTTATTATGTTTCTTCATTTGTTGCGGTTGCATTACTGTCTAATTAATTATTGATATAAGTTTTATTCAAACTACGAATCATTGACTACTCTTTCGTTTGCGATTAGTTTGGATAGGTTGTTCCTACAAATAGTTGAAAATATCGTTCGGAGTTTATATTTCAATTCTAAGATGGTTAGAAAAAATATTGGTTTGGAGCTCGAAAAGGATGAGTTTACGAAATTATATCGCGTTTGTAATAAAGTTTTATTAGATATTTTTCATAATTGTATTAAAATTGTATTAAAATCATGTACAATACATCCTACATTTATAAAACATATTGCAAACTTCACTCCCTTCTTAATGATATCGGCTAAAATACTTTAGGTAACACACTTATAATACATGCACAATTCATTTTTAATACATATTGCAAACATCACTCACATTCTTAGTGATACAAACCAAAAATAATTTATAAAACACATATAATACATATTTTATTCATGAATAATACATGTATAATACCTATTGTACACTGCACTCATTTCTTACGGATACCAACAAGAATAATTTCGGTAGCACACTATAATACATCTAAAAGACATGCACAATACATTTTAAATACATATTGCAACCATCACTCTTATTCTCAGTGACAAAAACAAAGATAATTTATAAGATATATATTCATGAATCATATGAGTTTAATTTAGTTATAGATCATTGTCTTGTCTTTCGTTAGTTACGTTTTTCATTCATTCTTAGTTCTCTCTTTTAATTCAACTGTAGTACTGTATAATGCAATTTTAATGCAATTTAATTCATTTTGCAATTTTTTTATTTATTTGTTACTACTGAATTACTTGTTTAATTCATTATTGATACAAGTTTAATTTACTCTATAAATAATTTTCTGTTTTTTCATTAGTTAAGTTTTTTATTTTTTTTATTCATGCTTAATTTTATCTTCATATGCAACTTTAATATTTGTGCAGTACACGTTTAAATACAGTTTTAATTCATTTATGCAATTTGTTTGTTGATTTGTTACGATTGAATTATTTGATAAATTCATTCAGTTTGCAGAATGTAGAATACTTTTTGGTTTGCTACATGTTGCATTCATGCTTTATTTTCTCCTAATTCAACTTCAATACGTGTGTAATACATTTTTAACTCACGTTTAATTTGTATTGCAATTTTTTATGTCTCTTTATTTGTTACGATTAAATTATTTTCTAATTAATTAATTAATTAATTAATTATTGATTCTGCAAAATTATTAACTAATCTACGAAAGAAAATAGAGAAAGAAATAAAAGAAAAAAAGCAATATATATATATATATATATATATATAGAGAGAGAGAGAGAGAGAGCAGCAAAAAAGAAAACAAGAAAAAAAAGAGAAGAAACTAAAAAAAAAGAGCGACAAAAGAGAAAAATTAAAAAGCTGAGAGAGAAAAAAGAAAAGAGTCGAGAGAGAAAAAACGCTAATAAAATATATTTTGTTATAAATGTTAATAATTAAAGAGTATATCTAAAATAAGTAATTATTTCTTAAAAATGGTTTACTCAAGTAATTAATCCCTTTATGCATTGTTTTTAGGAAAAATTACATATGTACACATCTTTATTTAACATAATTTCTATTATTCTGTACCATTTTAAAATATTGCCAAAATCCCTTATTTTACTTCAAAATCCTAACCTCATGATACATAACTTCATACTCCCAAAACTAACGTTTCTATTCCTTAATTCACTCCTTAATCCCTATAACCTCATTCCCACAATCTTATCAACTAATTCCATCCTAACAATCTGAAATTCAAAATCACTCTCTCCCCACTCAAATCAATTTCAACTTCTTAACTACGTAATTTTCGTCTTCGTCGATTTTTGTAGTTCATTCTTTTTTTTTAATCACCAATTTACTAATATTAATTCAAATATTAATGGACGCATGTTGGTAAACGTATGATAAAAGTGTATGCATAATATACTTACCATACTTGACATGTTAATCAATATTGTAATATTGTAATTGATGACCTGGACTATCCCGATGAAAATGAAACCTAGGTGTGATCAAAATACACCGGGATAATAAGGATCAGGATAATTTGGTAGCCTTTGTTGAAAATATAGATGTTGACTTTTTGGAGAAGGCAAGGTCGGAGAAGAATGCATCATCACGCCTATCTTTATCAAAGTTATCGATTCTCAATTTATATTGTTTTTTGTTTCTTAAATTAGTCTTTGTTAGTGGTATGAAATTTCAAATACATTAATGCTACAATAAATTTATATTTTATGTAATGCATCAGGTATATATTTATTATATTGATACATAATTCAAATATTGTTGAATATTCGACTAGTGAGTTTCATGTGTTATACTTATACATTTGATACATAAGTAATGCTTAATGTATCATTTATAATATATCATCAATATTTTTTAATTTTAAAAGGATATAGAATACATTACAAGCAATCTTTACTTCTCTAATGTATCTGATTCTCTGTTCATCTTTGTTTTATGCAATGTATCATATTCATATTTAAGGTATTGATAAATAACTCTAATGTTGTTGAATCTTTTATTAGTTTTATCATGTTCATATAAATGTAATTGATACATAAACACTATCTAATGTATCATCTGCATATATCAAGTTTTTCAATGAATCAACACTCTCATTCAAATTTAAAAGGTTATATAGACACTAAAACATCAATTATGTGTTATGTATCTGCACTCTTCAATATTGTTCAGTCTTATACAACTTAGAATGTGACGTATATGTATAGATCACCAAATAATAATCTTGATACATTAAAACCCAGACAACATGAAATAATCTGTAAATCTTAAAAAACTTAGTGATACATTATATGAAATATCTTTTTTTTCAATTCGTAATGCAACATATATCTAACAACGAATGAACACATGTCAGCACAATTTTGTAACCATCTTATAACATGTATTGGGTACATTAGAACTATCAATGGTACAACCATTCAGAAAAAACTGAATATATATATATATATATATATATATATATATATATATATATATATATATAGGGAAAATGCACAAGTACCCCCTCAACCTATGCCTGAAACCCCAGAGACACATTTATACTATACTAAGGTCCTATTACCCCCCTGAACTTAATTTATAAGTAATTTTCTACCCCTTTTCGGTCTATGTGGCATTAGTTTGAAAAAAAAGTCAACCAGCGCTAGACCCACAACATAGTGCCATGTAGGCCGAAAAAGGGGTAGAAAATTATTGACAAAATAAATTTAGGAGGTAATAGGACCTTAGAATAGTATAAATGTGTCTCTGAGATTTCGGGCATAGGTTGAGGAGATACTTGTGAATTATCCCATAAAATTACAATACACGCGGGTTGTTTACTAATAATGTATCATGACTTATATATTCACATCAAAATAATAAAATAATAATTTAACAATGATACATTAAAAAAAACTATATACTAATGGTGGAGAGGACAGAGGGAATGGTGAAAGAGGTGGTTGAACGACAAATGATGCATAAGGAGTTAATACAAAAGATAATTTCTTCGTCGGATAAGAAGCCAATGAAATAATGACATAAACACCATATGGAAAATCATTGTTTCTTCTTATATATTCATATCCCTCCACACTCCATGATAAACCCAT